GGGCAGGGACACCATTCCTACCCCCTGGCTAATAGCACTCCATGGACCCAACCTCCATGACTTTATCTCACTTCTCTTTAAACTCTGTTCTAGTTGTAGCCTTCACAGCCTCCTGCAGCAAGGAGTTCCACAGGTTGACTCTTTGCTTTGTGAAGAAGAACTTTCTGTTACTAGTTTGAAGCCTGCTACCCATTCCTTTCCTTTGGTGTCCTCTAGTCCTTCTTTATGGGAACTAATGAAGAACTTTTCTGTATGCACCCTCTCCACCCAACTCCTGCTTTTAGAGACCTCTGTCCTGTCCCCCCTCCGTCTCCTCTTTTCTAAGCTGAGAAGTCCCAGTCTCTTTAGCCTCTCTTCATATGGGACCTGTTCCCAACCCCTGATCATTTTAGTTGCCCTCCCCTCTCCCACCCTCTCTCTTCCCCTCTCCCACCTCCTTTTTCTAGTCTCCCCAAGTTTTGTTCAATAAAGAGAGTTCCTATTTTTGAACACACGTATCCTTTATTTTGTACATCAGGAAGGGGGGCTAGGGAAGGGTAAGTGGAAGTAGGTGAGGGAGGAATGGGGTACAAGCCCCCAATGAGGAGGACTGGGGTGGCTCTGCAGGCTCCTCGGGATGGAAGCTCTCCTGCAGCCCCCCAATTGATCTGCCCCCGGATGGCAGCCTGCGGCAAGTGCAGCCGGGCTGATGGCCGAGTGCTGTGATGTGCCCAGTGTGGGCACTCAGGGCACTCCAAGCCAGGACTGCTTTACAAGCGGGGCACCCCTGAGAACTGTCTGTCTGGGGTGGGGGTCAGGTCTCTTTAAGCGCAGCCCTCGGCTAGCCTGAGACAGAAGCTCCACTCTCTAAGTCCTAAGCTGATGCCCTGCTGGCACTGCTTCCAGCCATCCTTAACCTTGGTTCATTGTCCACTCAGTGTGGACATGATAGTTTGAATTAGCAAAACATTAATTCAAACTAGTTTTTAGGTCTAGATGCGCTAGTTCGAATTAGCTTAGTTCGAATTAAGTAATTCAAATTTAGTTAGTTCAAATTAGTGCTGTAGTGTAGACATACCCTGAAGGGTTTTGTAAAGCAGGTCAGTGATTTAATTGGATGAACAGAGGGTATGTCTACACTACAAAGTTAATTCGAACTAACAGCCGGTACTTTGAATTAACTTTCATCGTGTCTATGCATGCAAATTAAGTTAGTTCGAATTAGTGCTGTAGTGTAGACATACCCTGGGTTAGATTTAAAGGGGTTAAAAACCCAAGGTGATGTCATAGAATCACAGAACACTAGGACTGGAAGGGACCTTGAGAGGTCAACGAGTTCAGTCCCCTGCCCTCATGGCAGGACAAAATACTGTCTAGACCATCCTTGATAGACATTTATCTAACCTGCTCCTAAATATCTCCTCAGATGGGGATTCCACAACCTCCCTGAGCAATTTATTCCAGTGTTTCACCACCCTCACAGTTAGGAACTTTTTCCTAGCGTCCAACCTAAACCTCCCTTGCTACAGTTTAAGTCCATTGCTGCTTTCTCTATTGTCAGAGGCCAGAAAGAACAAGATTTTCTCCCTCCTCCTTGTAACACCCTTTTAGATATTTCAAAACTGCTATCATGTCTCCTCTCAATCTTCTTTTTTCCAAACTAGACAAGCCCACTTCTTTCAGGGTATGTCTACATTAGCTCGTTAGTTTGAGCTAGGTAAGCAAATGAGGGCAACCGGAGCTGCAAATGAAGCCTGGGATTTAAACATGTTCCCAGGTGCTGCCATTTTTAAATCCCCCTTAGTCCAAACTAACTGCCCACGGCTAGACGCAGCAGTTGAAAGTTAATTCGAACTAACTCCTTAGATCGCATTAACTGTTACTCCTCGTGGAATATTGTGCAGCAGATGTAACCGTTTGTACGCCATAAGGGTCAGCAAGAGTGAAAACTAGAGAGAGAAAAACTTGGGTGCAGAGTTTCCTCTAGGGGGCGCACTTGTATGGGTGTGAAGAAAGTCCCGCCCACCTCATTAGCAGAGCTGTGCAGCAGCAGGCAAACTGGGGAAAGTGGGATTTGTGGGAGGAGCGCGGCTGCTTGAAAAAAAGGTCTACTCCGCAATGCTATTTCAGGATGCCTATGGTTTCCCGAAATAGCTACCTCACGTCTTCTCAATGCATCTGCTATTGCGAAAAATAGCAGATGTGCAATTTTGCCATCCGTATGAACCTCATTCTACGTGGAGTAAGGGACGGCTCGAAATAGCTGTGTAGATGCACCCTATGTCTGTAGAAGAGACAAGTGAGGGGGGATATGAGAGCAGCCTGCAACTTCCTGAGAAGGGAGGTTCGAAAGAGATTGGAGAGAGGCTGTTCTCATTGGTGGCAGACGGCAGAACGAGGAGCAATGGGCTCAAGTTGTGGTGGGAAAGGTCCAGGTTGGATATTAGGAAAAACTATTTCACTAGGAGGGTGGGGAAGCACTGGAATGGGTTCCCTAGGGAGGGGG